CAGCCGGGGCCATTTGAGCTTGGAGCTTCTGGCTGCTATGGCCAGGTCTGACTTCAAGGCTTGCGACTGCCACGGCTTCTAGAGCTTCGCTTCAAGCTCATGGCCATGGAAGAGTTCAAGCGGCCATGGCAGTGAGATCTAAAGGTTGTAGATCTCGAGCCCGCTCTCGTCATGACTGCTCGAGCTTTTGACCTATAGTCATGGCAGTAAAGGGTGATCATGAGTGGGTATTTACGAATATCATTGTTAAGGTTTGAAGATTTTGAAGAAGAAGAAATCCAAGTAAAAAAGAGAGTTGGCGTTTGGAAAAAAAGGACAAAAAATCCATATTAGAAAATATCTAACAACATTAACCCACATTAGCAAAATCCGTTACTGGACCGATTGAGGGGCGACTGGTAACACCTTTTTAAGAAGTACACGTGCGATTTTTGCACGAAAAGAAAGTACATGAATGGTTTTGAATTTTAGGCAAGAATTAAAAGGACTACTACTGCCATTTCCCCTATTTTCTAATCAGATGCTGCGCGACACCGGAACAGGAGTTGGTGAATCTGGAAGTCAAATTTGCCGGTGAGATCGCCGACAGCTTGTTCTTGCAAATTTTATTTTATTCTTTCCTTGAACGACACAACTTGAGTGCTTTTCAATTAATTAATCATCTAATTTCAAATGGGTGTCAAAAGAATGATCTAGGTCTCTTCCCACAAGGCTCATAATAGTTTTTTTTTTTTGGGGGTCACTGTGATCTTCATAGTATATGTAAAGCAACTTGAGGAATATATTGATAATGCTACTGTAGTGGGGAGATATGTCCCTCCATAAGTTTTTCTTGTAAATGTATTGGAAAAATTTATGAAAAGTGGTGCCTGTTGCTTAAATTATATTGCCAGTGCAAGATAGTGGAAATTAATTACTTTATGTGGCTTGCCACTAAGTTTAGTGACCATATTATACTATACTTTGATATTTCATATCATCAAAAAAGCTAGAGAGTGTACCCTTTTTAGTATATCCTTCCAAATTTAATAATTTTTAAAGTGGGACTATTGCTAGCGAATGAAAGCGAAAGGATCCCCCAATCATAGTCATTGAAGCCAATGGTCGTGGATGATCCACATATATAGACGCGGATCCAATTATAGCCAATGGCACAACAATTATTATACACGAATGGGGTCGATCTTGGCCTTATGACTTGACCACTTTCCAACATGTGAATGCCATAGCTCCTCTCTTGGTCCATCGATTGCCAATGTAGCTCTCATCATTATCAATTCATCATTGTGATTAGTTGAATGTACTAGGTGATTAATTATTGATTGGTTAGGTATAAGGACGGTTTCATGTGTGATGTGCATGTATACTGCTGAAGCTTGAAACAATTCCGAGGTCTTATAAAATGGAATGGAATGCAGAAAAGGTCCAACATTATTGAATCGCTCAGTTTCCTATGGGAAATAGCTCATCTGTTTTTCAGCTAAGTTCCAAAACAAGTTCGTAAGAGAGGCCAAACGACCAAATGGCGTGGCCAACGACGATGAAGATAGTACAAAGTATTCTAGATGCCCTTTTGTCCAATCCGTAAATGTTGTCCAGCCATACATTTTCTTTCTTGTTTTCCAATGATTTGTTATGTTACTGTTATCTCCTTCCAACGTCTGATGCGATATAGATATCAAATACAGGTTGCACATGTGGGATTGGTGATGCTGTTGCGTGGGGCGAGCGATTGTTGTTTTGAGTGATGTCGATGGAAGCACGGACAGATCAGAGTGCGTGGGGATGGATGTCGTTGGATAAATGTAAAATGCAAGATAGAATACGTTCAAAACTAAGCATATAGGATGCATTACCAACCAAGAATCAAGATGAGAATTGACGAAGTTCACCACAAAAACTTGCAGAATGAACCGCCTACCAAAGATGCAGGACTTCAGTATAGGAAAAGCTCACCACCAAGGCCGACAAAAAAACCACCAGCCAAGGATACAGGACTTCTTAGCTCACCACCAACGAAGAATCTACCTTCCAAGGATACAAAAACTGGGGATAGATATTTATTCACACAGAGACAAATCTCATATGATCTCAATATTTAAGTATTCGTGCCTTACATTTGAGAATTCGCCTATATTTATAGAGAAACTAATACATATAATAGATTAAGCGTTAAAGACATGGGGATTACCCAAACATTAAGGACATGGAAACTAGAAAACAATTAAAGACTTAGGAACTAGAAAATGCATTAATGACATGGAGACTTGAAATCTTGACTTTTCGGCCTTTAGGTTCATCTACCAAGTCCACCATCCTTGACCCAAAAATAACCATTTTAGAAGATCAACAAATATTCAAGGAAATTGCTTAGAATAACCTTCCATCGATATTATGTTGATTAACTTTGAAATCGACAACTAGTTTGGTGAATCAACAACTTAAAACTTGATCTGCAAGGGAATAATTGACAACTCCTTAATTGATAACTTGGTAGTCAATCGGCAACTATTCTTGCGTATTGATAACTAGCATGTAGAATCGACATCTTCAAAGAGTTAATCGATAGCCCGATACTCCCGTATCAATTGGTGACCATGTTCTATAGTCCTATTCTATGGAGATGAGCATTGTTGCCCTCTTACTGTTGCAAGGTGATAATTGATTATTGGTACGAGCTATCTTCATACGATTCATATGGGTAAAATCACTCTTGAATATGGAAATGCTCAAGTCATATCCACCACACAAGCACACCTCTGATAATCGGAGAAAAGTTGAGTAAGTTTGGACCTATCTAACTTTGTAGAGACACTTTTTCGAAAATTTAGTACATAGTATCATATGTCTCGTAATCTAGTCATGCCTGATGCCACCGCATGTTGCCATGAACCATGCATGCGCAATCTAGTCGCTCCGATGCTGTTGCTCGCCTCTAATGTAATTCTCGCTTAGATCATCTCTCTCTCTCTCTCTCCGAGAAACATTAAAAGTGCCAAAATCATGTGCGTACCTTTATTAAGGATCAAACCTTTTCGGACGATCGCTTTGATCTCAAAACGATCGCTTAAGTTATTCCACGACTTGACCCGCCAAAAAATTTACAGTGGCATCTTCCACGTGGCTTGCCGGAGACACCAACCCTTAGTATGCAGATCAAGCAAGCCGTCTGACAACACAATCGAGCCCCAAAATTGGAGGAAATTAGGGCTCCGTTCGTTTGGCGGAAAATGTGGCATTTTTGAAAAATGTTTTCCGGGAAGTCATTTTCCTGGAAAATGACTTCATTTTTCGATGTTCGGCTAAAATCTAAAAAAGTCTCGGAAAATATTTTTCGTTGTTCGGTATAGAAATGATTTTCCTTCTTGCAATACTTTTAATATTTTTTTAATTTTTTCTTTTTTTTTTCTTTTTCTTTTGCTTCTTCTCCAGCAGGTCGCCGGCGACGACTGCGGCCGGCGGCCGGCAACTGGCCGGAGGCGAGCTCGAGCATCGCCCCAGGTCGGTGAGGCTCGAGCTCGCCAGATTCCGGCGAGGTCGAGCCTCGCCGGCCTGTGGCGACGCTCCGCCTCGCTTGATCCGGCGAGGCCGGCGAGTCCGACCTCGCCAGATCCGGCGACCTGGGTGAGGCTCGAGCCTCGCCCGAGGTCGCCGGAGCCTCACCGATGTCTGGCGACCTTGGGCAAGGCTCGAGGTCGCCGGATCTAGCGAGGCCCAAGTCGCCGCTGGCGATCAAGCAGCCCGATGAGCCTCGCCCACGAACAAGAAGAAGAAGAACCCACGAACAGCAACACCAGAATACGAAGAAGAAGGAGAACCCACGATTCCCCTCTCTCTCTCTCCCCCATGAACAGCAACACCAAAAAACAAAAGAATCAAAGCATCAGTAGATCCAGCGACCTCGAGCCTCACCCAGGTCGCCGGATCTGGCGAGGTTGGAGCTCGCCGACCTCGGGTGAGGCTCGAGACTCGCCTGACGTCGCTAGACGGCGGCGAGGCCGAGGTCACCTGAGGCCAGCGAGCTCGGGCCTCGCCACTGGCCGGTCGCCGGCCACAGCGCTGAGGAAAGAGAAGAACGAAAAAAAAGAAAAAAAAATAGTGAAGAAGTAGAAGAAGCTCCGAAAAATGACTTCCGCTTTTGAGAAGCGGAAGTCATTTTCCACAGACTTAGGCTATTTTGTGAGGGGGGAAGGAAAAGTTTTCCCACGGAAAACGTTTTCCGCCCCCCGAACACCGGAAAACCCGGAAAATATTTTCCAGGGCACGAACAGAGCCTAGGTTAAAATTGCATCTCTTCTCAAAATTAGGCATCACTTAATTACCTTGAACTGTATCTAAAATCGCCGCACCAAATATGACACCAACATTTTGACGAGATCGCGTATAGAATATCCACATATCAAGAAGGATTAGATTCTTTTGGATAAAGAAGGTGAAGAAGAAGAAGACGAGCTTGACAGTAAAAGAAAGGTTATCCATGAAAGGATGAAACTTAAAAGAACGATAATAAGAAACCAAGTGAATAGTCCCACTCATAAGTAGTGTGATCAGCTTTCGTAAGCAAGCAAGGAAGACTTCGGCCTAACCTTGACCCCGTCCGCCAACGTTGCCGACCACCCATTTCACATCTCCTCCTCCTCCTGACATCCCTCCACGTGGCCCGTACGCCGGCTTCGCAAGGCCGGCGCCGGTGTCGAACTGTCACTGAAAATGTCAGCAACGCTTCGATTCAAATGCCACCACATCTTTTACCCTAATAATAGCAGCACTACTACTGGAAGGAAACACACGTACGACAAAACCTTATTTTACATTTGCACTGATCTTAACGCCTTTCGTTTTCACCCTATTTTTTATCCTTTAAGGTGTTAGCATCGGGCATTGATTTAAATATGACCCCACGCACGGCCCCTTCCCTATCTCACGTCGCCATATTCACCACATTCCAAAAGGCTCCTTCGGTTGCTTGTGTGTATAGATAGAGAGCCTTCCTTGCTTGCTTCTTCCTTCATTCATTCAACCCCCTCACTCTCTCTCTCTCTCTCTCTCTCTCTCTCTCTCTCTCTCATCCTTCAAGGCTTTGCAGAGATGGGGAATTGCCAGGCCATAGACGCGGCGGCGCTGGTGATACAGCACCCGGATGGGAGGCTGGAGAGGATGTACTGGCCCGTGACGGTGAGCGAGGTCATGAGGACCAACCCTGGACATTACGTCTCTCTCATCATCCCCTTGCCCGTCCCCGACGACAAGAAGGAGGAGGGCGACCAGCAAGACCCGCCCAAGGCGGTGCGCTTCACCCGCGTGAAGCTTCTCCGCCCGACTGAGACCCTTGCCCTCGGCCACGCCTATCGCCTCATCACCTCTCAAGGTACATTCCTGGGTTCTGTTCATAAATTTGTTGTTCCGTAGTTTGGTATGAGAGATAGAGGGAGAGATACATTTATGCCTAGTTTTTTCCTTTTTTCTAACTCTTGTGATCGGTTCATAGAGGTGATGAAGGTACTGAAAGCGAAGAAGTACGGCAAGATGAAGCAGAGGCAACAGCAATCAGGAGCAGCTGAGAAAGCAAGCGCTGCAGTGGCAGAAGTGGAGGGCTCTGACATGGAGGCCATCAACAACGAGAAGGTAGGAGAAAACTAAACAATTTTCAGCACACCCACAAGACGATTAAAGTTCTCTCTTTTTAAATTTTACTTTCGGAAGTATCTTTTTAATCATGTGTGCACGAGGGTTTCCAGTCCTCGCCGATCTGTGTCAGTTCCTCCCTCTCCCAGTCTGATAAGTATAGTTAACAGCCTGGACGGATTCCCACCAGATTTTCCTTTTGAGTCACCCCAATGCAAAGCGGAACTTTTTAAAAAGGAGCACGGTATCTCTCAGGGCATAATTAAATTAGCAGGAGTAGAGTAAAAGTCATGTTCCTGCTCATTGTACTGTGCAATAATCATCCGTATGCTTGGATGTGATATAAATTATTGGCGATTGGTTTCCCGGGCAGCTTAAGCTATTACAAGAAACCGATTCCCTGAACGTTGACGAATGATGCGAAACTGTCTCCTGCAGGTTTCGAAACATGGAAAGCAAAGGCCGAGAATGGTGGCGGCGGGCGTTGCGGTGGGGAGATCGAAATCCTGGAGGCCCAACTTGCAGAGCATAGACGAATGCGGAAGCCGATGAGCTCTCGATGGTTGCTTCATCGATTCTAGTTCAGTTTCATCCAGAGGAAGCAGAAAAAAGAGCCTGTAATTGCCAAAATGGAGCCGAGGACTTCTGAGTTGACCTCTTTCGAAGCCAGGTCAAAGGAGAAACATGGGATGGAGGATCTTAATGTTGGGCGAAGGAAAAAGAAGGCGAATGATCTCTCGGGACCAGCCAACCATTTCTTTCCGGCTCCAGAGCTTCCCATTTCTCTCAGGACCACCACGATTTTCTTGTCACCATGAGAACTTGAACTTGTAAATTTTAGGACCATAGCGAATGAAACAATAGAGAAATCATATGCCAAATTGTAGCCGAAGGAAAAGTTGAGTCTTCCTTGCTTTGTTGAAATAAAGAAGTTGAACATAATGTCCAGAGCAAAAAGGCCTGAAAACAAAAGGTCATTCTGGACCCAAAAAGACAGCACAGAAAGTGAGGACGGATGTGATGCAAGATTTCAGCGGAAACAGTGGACGGAATGAATTGTCGCTCAGATATTTTGTATGGACGAAAGTACTCTATTGAACTGTTCTTCAGTCAGCCATGTCGGAAGTTTGGAATTTTCATCAGTATCTGATGATCTTTTTGATGCATGAGGACATCAGGACGGCCTGCGTTAGAATTTATTGAACCTGTGCTCCGTGTGCCGACCACACATTTTTTTACCGCTCATTTCACCGCTCCCTGTTTCGCTATGACCAAAAAGACATCACCTTCTCTCTCCCGATCCTTTTTTATAGGTTTGAAAATCCTTCTCCCTCGTTCACGCGTCTCCATCCCTAGTCTTTCCCGATAATATAAGGAATCGAACTACCTACCTCATTCTTCCCAAGTGAAAAGGGTGATTTCTCTCGTCCCTTCATGTGCCGGAATGTGCAGGAAAACTCCGATGGAGTTCAAGCCCAAGTCCATCATCAGATCCAGTTTAATCATTTTCATTGAAAAGTTAAATCAAAATGTTAAGGGTCAATAATGATAAATTAACCCGTCCTACCTCATACCAAACCTCTTGTACCGAACTTTGCTAACGCTCCTAACAAGTGCACTTCCACACCGTGTCTATTCGTATTTGGATTTGATCTATTTCTCCCTTCATAGCACGCAATCGCATTACTAGAAAATGATTTGCTTTGCTTCGCCACTATAGATTGGGTAACATTAGTCTGGGGCTTGTCGAAGAGTATAATGAGCCAGGAATTTAAATCTAAGTTGTGCATAATCTACACTAAGAGCCACCTTATTCAAATTACAATCGGTGCACTTTGCAATGTTGTCTACCTTTGACAGAAATCACATCGGCGATAAATATTTCTACGAAGGAACTAATTCACTTGGCAATTTATAATGTATTACATTATAGCTTGACCATAATATATTGCAGATGTTATGGAGTGACCATCACCATCAATATATGCAGATATGCCAGAGAAATTTGGACAGATGAAGAGTTTTGCGCATAATATTAACCGGAACTTCTAGAAACTCAAGGTATATAAAATGTGTATGCGTATTGTGGTGGAAGTGTTGTTCATATTGTCGTTTGCTAAAGTTGATGCTTTCACCTCTTAAAAGGCCCGTCGGCTCCTCTTATGATTTTCCTCTTCTAAGGTGTTATTTTGGGAGCTTAAGCATGACACCTCCCCCACACCCTTTGTTGGCACTAAAAAATGATCAAGTCTTTTTTATCGATATTGTGACGACATAAAACTCTGTGGGGGAAAATTACCAATTCAGTCCTCAACCTATTACATTTGTGCCAATTCAGTCTTAAACCTTTCAATTTGGCCAATTCAGTCCTAAACCTTTTGCAAACCAGCCAATTCAGTCTTTTTGGCTGGCCGGCACTGACGTGGCCGCTGGCCGGCTGACGTGGCGCCAGCCGGCGCCACGTGGCAATATTTTAATATTTTATTATTATTATTTTCGATTTTTTTCTTTTTTTTTTCTTTTCCTTCTTCCCCCTGGCCTGTCCGGCCAGGGGGGAGGCTCGCCGGCGAGGCGAGCTGGGCCCTCGCCGCCGCTGGGCGAGGGCGGAGCTCGCCCAGCCAAGGCGAGCTCGCCCAGCCATGGCGAGCTCCGCCTCGCCAGATCTGGGCGAGGTCGGAGCTCGCCCAGCCAAGGCGAGCTTCGCCTCGCCCAGCTCGGGCGAGGGCGGAGGTCGCCCAGCCATGGCGAGCTCCGCCTTGCCAGATCTGGGCGAGGGCGGAGCTCGCCATGGCTGGGCGAGCTCCGCCCTTGCCAAGCTCCGGCGAGGCGGAGCTCGCCTTGGTTGGGCGAGCTCTGCCCTCGCCCAGCGGAGGCGAGGGCCCAGCTCGCCTCGCCGGCGAGCCTCCCCCCTGGCCGGACAGGCCAGGGGGGAGAAGGAAAAGAAAAAAAAAAGAAAAAAGAAAAAAATTCGAAAATAATAATAAAAAAAATATTAAAATATTGCCACGTGGACGCCGGCCGGCGCCACGTCAGTCGGCCGGCGGCCACATCAGCGCCGGCCGGCCAAAAGGACTGAATTGACTGGTTTGCAAAAGGTTTAGGACTGAATTGGTAATTTTCCCAACTCTGTGTTAGTTGGTTCGATCACCGACAAGAGGTCAAGGGAAAGAAGCCTAATGACACTATATTAACTATTGACGTGAAACCAATATATGGATAGGTGCCAAGCAATTCGATTATCGGCAAGATGTTAGAAGCTAAGGAGTTCTCGACGATTATGATTATCGATGACCAAATGCTATTATCGATATACGGTAACTATTGGTTGAAGATTGATACTTATGGATCGAATCATCACCATTCTATTTCTCTATTTCTATTTTTCTTTTCTCAGGATCAGATTTGAAATAGAAAACAGTTTGGTAACGCAATTTTATTTTTTTTATTTATAGGATAAGCTTTTAGCTGAGAAATAGGTTTAAAACAGAAATGAGAAGTAGATTTTTTTTACTTTTCTATTTCTAGAATAGAAACAAAAATAACAACTCTCTTTTATTGCTTGTTGTCGCCGCCCGCCATCACCGCCCGCCATCGCCGCCCACCCGTCGGCCGTCCGCCACCAACCGCTCGCCGGCAGTCCCTCGCCATCGGCCATTCGCCGCCTCTCGTCATCTGTCGCCACCCGCTGGGTGTCCGCCTCACCGCCGATCGCTGGGAAAGAAAATTTAAGAATAACCTATAAAACGAATTTCTATTCCTAGAAAAGAAATTTTGTATCGTTATAAAACTTTACTTTTTGCTCAGAAACTCGTCCGAGGCTAAGCGCAAATGATAAATTTTTTCTTCCCCGGCCCTATTTCTAGCTAGAAATAGAAAAATCTACTCATTTGACGAGTTTTTGAGCAAAAAATAGCATTTGATAACAACACAAAATTTATGTTCCCGGAATAGAAATTCGTTTGATAGGCTATTCTTAAATTTCTGTTCCCGATGGCCGGTGGCGGATGAGGCAGGCGACCGGTGAGTGGTGGCCGGTGAGTGTTGGCGAGCGGACGACGACGGGTAGCAGCGGCGGGCGACAGGGGCCGACAACCGGTGGGCGGCGAGGGCAAGCAATAAAAGAGAATTGTTATTTTTGTTTCTGTTCTAGAAATAGAAAAGTAGAAAATTTTAATTCCTTATTTTTGTTCCAAACTTATTTCCTAGCCGTCACGGGCAATGCTATCACATCGCCCTGTTATTTACATTTGTAAACAAGACCCTAAAAGTTATTGCGGAAGGAAGCGATTAAATAATAAAATAGACAGAACAATAAAGTAAATCAGACACCAGATTTATGTGGTTCTGTTGATATGACATATGTCAACAGGAAGAGCAGCAGAGGATTTCACTATAAAGCGACGTAATAGAGATTATAATCACATTTGAGTCACTCAAACACTAAATTTAATCAATCCGGCTACATTATCAACTTTTATGTCAATAGAACCATAACCTTTATGTCAATAAAACATTCATTCTCTATACTTAGCAGCAAATTTAATCAATTCCGACTACATTATCAACTTAAAGAAGGGTTACACCATGTAAAGTAGGGGTGAGTGTGGTTTGGGCAGGCAGTTCTAATGCAGAATCTATTAGTGGTGCGTTTCTGGACCGGTTGGACAGGTAGAAGTCCAAACGGAAGGTAAAACGGTGATGCGACTAGAACCGGTGGACCCGGTTGACGACATCGGATAGGGCTCAAATTTGGTCGTTTGAAACGAAACTGCGGTCTGAACACAACTCACCGCTTTTGGCCGTGACTAACAATGGATTTTAGCGATTCGGAATCGTTTACATGGGTTTTTCTATTATTTTAATATTTTATTGGCTTTAATTTTAAGGGCAGTTTTGTAATTTTGATATTTTATGCTTTGTAGTCCTAGTAGGGTTTGGTTTAGGGATATATAAGCTTGTTTTAAGGTTTTTTTTTAAAGACAGAACATTATCATCAATATTGAATTTCGGGATTTCTCTCCCTAAGCAACCTTTTGCTTGAATTACTCGCTGAACGCTGCGTCAAGTTCCTAACATGAAGCCGGGAACCGTCCACTAAGAACCGGTTCCGAGAAATTAGAACCGGGAATTGCCCGTTGATTCCATGGATCCACCTGGGAACCGGACCAATCCGGTTCCTAGGTGGATTCATGGAACCAGTCCCACCAAGTTTCACGCAAATGGAGGTAACCGAGAGTGAGAGAGGGAGACGATGAACGGCTAAAGGCGCGGCCGTGAGTTGATGGGAGTTGAGAGTCGAGTTTCAGATTAGGGATTTTATGGTTTTCATTTTTTTTTAAATGTTTTCTTTTTTTTTTTTTGGTTGAAATTTTTCTAAAAAATTATATATATTATCGGTCCGAGTGGCCGGGTGGGCGGTTCCATGCCTAGAATCGGGAACTGGACTGATACTTACCGGTTCTAGTAAATTAGAATAGGAAACCGGACCGATCCTCACGCACACCCTTAATGTAAAGCATTGTTCCTAGCCCTTCAAATGTAGCATATGCAACCATTTCAAACCAGCTTGCAGATACTCTTGCGACCATCGTTTACCTTTCGTCTCTTATCCAGCCTAGTTATACTCAAAACTCCCATCCACCAATAAGTTCATTGACCCAACAAAGCTGCAAATCCCCACGTTAAAAAAAAAATGAATTGCATAGCGATTCATCGTCCGTTTTGCAAAGAAGACAACAACATGGATCGATTGAAGCCCATCCCCCCATCCTATCGAAAGATAGATGACCCATTGTGCATAACCCACCAAACAACAAAACTGCACTGGACCTGTTCGGACTCAACCCAATCCAATGTGTCCATCCGTCTTTCGTCCCACTTGCTAAATTTGACATAAGAGAAGTATTTATTAATTTTTATAGAGTTGTGTTTTAGCACCCATTTTGGCCGCATATGTTTTCAATGAGTTAGTGTATAAATTACGTGTGTCCCCTTAGGGTTTGTTTGTTTCGCAAAAAAAAAAATTGATTTGAAAAATATTTTCCAAAAAATAATTGGTTATATCTCTTAAAAAAAATTAGTCAATGAAATAGGTTTTCACCATTGACAACAATT